CAAACAAGATGAAGGAGCAAATAAATAGCAAAACCGTACGGGCAGGGGAGGGGGATTTTCAGTACCCACTTTATCTCGTACGTGTACATAGTTTCTTACAAGCCTGGCTAACCAGTACTCCCTGACTAATGGTCATAGGTTTGTCATGTTTGAGAGAGCTCCCCTTTTTAAAGTGCGTTATGAATTGGCTCTGGAACAAAAAAAATTGCTTAAAGATGAACCTTCTTTATCTTTATTGCTAATGCTATATTTTTTTGTGCTTGTTCAAAGTCAGTTTATAGTAACAGCCACTTGTATTAATATCTGATATTAATATAGCTGATTAAATAAATTCCAGTTACGTCTACACCTATACTTGCACCTATAAAAACAAAGGAAAACAGAAAAAGTATTAGATGTGACCAGAACACTTAAGTGGGAGAGAAGCAGTGGCGGATCCAGGGGCCCGCGCCACCCCTTATTTCTAGACCAAACTGAGGCCAAACTTTTTTTGGAGACCCCACCCCCCCCCCCCCCCCCCTTCTGCCCCCTTATCTCAAGGCGGTGTGAAGTATTACGCTACATACGGTTTCGGTGATCACCAGGAGTCCATCAAATTTGATGGGCTCCTGGTGATCACTTACGTCAGCAGGAGCCAATTAGTAACCTGACGGCAGGCATTCGGTTATGGCGAGATTCGGACCACAGTGAACTCTGCCAGTTTCAGCTGGTTTATTCAAGAGTATTAATATTGGAAGAGAAATTTATTGCTTAAAATTTCCGTCTCATATAACAAGCAGAACCACGTCTTCGTATACGCTGAGTTACGTCGCAAACAATAGGTGGTTTTACTTGTATAGGTAAGGCGACCTGTCCCTTCTACAGATGCTTAGGGGGGGAGTCATTTGCTAGTCTGAGTGTCGGTGTATTCTATAGAGTCGGCTCCCGACAGAGGTCATACTGATATGTTGATGAAAAACGTTTCGTCCTAGCCTCTTTAAAACTAATGAATATGTCGCAAAGCTCGAAAGCAATTTTATGTCTTTACTTCTGCTTATATTAAAGTTTTAACTATATAAATGCTTTTCCCCGTAAATTTCAGTGTATTTTGTACATTTTTGTCTCGTTTTTCTTCTGAAGCAAGATCGCTCAGGTTGCCTGCATTTTCCATCTAACAATCGAGAGTATCAGACAAACCTGTTCGTTGGGCTTAGCTGGGTAACCTCCAGTATGTACGGACGAATGAGACATCCCAGCCTCCAGCTGTTGCTGCTGAAGGGTACCGGTGACAATCCCCCCAGGGGAGGTAACTTGAGCAATCAGTTGCTGACCCCCTGCTGCACCAGAGACTGGCACTAGCACCATCGGTTGATGGTAACCCTGTGCTGCAACACCGCTGGCTCCTGCTTGCATTGACTGCATTGGAATAGCCACAGGAACACCTCCCGCGGACATGACGTAACCACTAGCTGGGTAACCGTACATCTGCTGGTCTACCTGTAATAATTTAACATATTACGAAAATTATTCTGGCATATATACACTACTCTAGATCTACCATGGATACAAAATTTTACTACGTTTTAAAGAGCACAAATTAAATTACATAGAAGGGTTTTAAAAAACACTTGTCGCTTTTTTCCCCCATATTTTTATGGTTGTTGTTACTTTTTCAGGCATTTCACTCACACAACGTACTCACGAGGCAAACTCAATGCAATAAAATAGTGAAGAACAGAAGTAAAATCATAAGAGAAGAATGAAAAAAGCTAAAAGTGAAGTGTTTTATTCAGGGCCCTCGCTTACGGTTACCAAAGGGCCTTAACGTAACATTTATATCGTACAGTGATTACATCAGAAAGCCTCACAGCAGCGATAGCCTGCCTGGAATTTATTTTAAATATGTGAATTCCAGTGGTAATATATTAGCATAGGTGATAGCATGTTTTGTAGTGATATTTGGCATAATTACCACGAGTGATATTTTGAAATTGTTATGCGTAATTGAGACAATTTTGAAATATCACAAGTGGAATTTGTGCCTAATATCACGTACAAATCATGTTATTAATTGTTTATACTACTCCCCGTGGAAGGTTTTTAATTTTCACATGTAGGTATTTCAAATTGAGGTGAAATACCACTGCTCTAAGCCAACCAAATTGCAGAAATTTCTCACGCAGTAGTATAATGGCGCGAAATTTCAGCGTTAATTTGTAATTTCACATGTGAAATAAATTACCATGGCAACCTTTCGTACGTCTCAGTGTCAAGATGGCAACGAAGTTTTAAAATGCCCTGAATAAAGATGTCAGGGCACAAAAAGACGCTTCAGAAAACCTGAACACACAAAAGAGCACATCAAGAAGGATTCTAACAGGTATTTTGTCAAAAAATTTTGATCATTCTGAACTTAAGCCAAATTTAAGGTCTAAACTTTTGAGAGAGTGGAGTTCTCGATCGATACGATCTAGGATAAAGTGACACGTCAAAAATTCACGACTGCTGACGAAATTCGTCACCCATGATGATATTAATAGGTAATCAAATGGTATACTCGTAGGGTCTGCCGGATTATGCCGGCATAATTTTGAGCATAATACTATATCTGGAGCATCAGGCATAATGCTGGCACAATACTAATATTTTTGGAGCATAATGCCTCTGTTTCTGAAAACTGTGAGAGGTGTATACAAATTTTGCCAGCAACTCGCTCTTAGCGACGCTCTAGAATATACAAAGTTGATAAAAGTGGGAATATTTTAACTTGATACGTTAGACTCGTACACAGTGCATTTTGCTATGATCCAAGTTCATTGGAGAAAGACATAATAGTAAGCCTTTCAATGCCTCACAATTTCCGACCTTTCGCTTGCTCATCAAATGTTTAACTGAATAATTATTGTCTAACAATTCTTTCAAAAATGAAAGACTAGGAATGTTTATTAATAGATACAGGCCTATAGGGGGGGAGGGGGGTGGGGTGGAAGTGTCATTTCAGTCCAGCATAATTTGAGCATAATACCTCTAGTCGAGCATAATTTTGGGCATAATACCCCAGTTTCACGGGTGACGCCCGAAAGCATAATACTCTATTTTTCGAGCATAATCCGGCAGACCCTAATACTCGTGAAATTAGGGAATAATTTCACTTGCGTTTTGTCCAAATCCTACTGATAATTCCCCAAGCCTTTAAGCGAGGGAAATTATTAGGATTTGGACAAAACGCAAGTGAAATATTCCCTAATCTCACTCGTCACCATTTGATTACATACACACATACAAATGTCACGTACAAATCATGCTATTACTTGTTTATACCACTACCACATGAGGTTTGTAATTTTCACATGTAGGTATTTTAAATTAAGCTGATAAACCAATGCTCAAAGCCAATCAAACTGCAGAAATTTCTCATGTAGTGGTATAATACCGTCAACGCGGTCGCTTGAAGGCACCCCCCGCACGCTTATAAGCCTAACCGATCCAGTTATAGCTTAAGCTACCTGTCTGCACAAAAAAATACATCTGATTATAAGCCACCCCGATTCGAAATTCGATTTATTATGACGTTTATGTTAAGCCTTATCAAAAGCCGGTAAATGCAAAATGCATTTTGAGCAGCACTGCTACGCTTTTTACAGTCCGGTTTAAATAAGCCCCCTCGGATATAAGCCCCGAGCTACAATAAGCTCTATTCCAAGGGCTCTTAAGCGGCAGGACATTAGAATTGTCATCAATGCCGACTTTAAAAACTCGTAGATTGAAACTTGCGTATTTAACACCAGCTCCTCAGCATGTCAGAATATCTCACATTATATTTTGAGGTTGTCGAAGATGTCGTAACTTTCATACCGTTGGTGGGTTATTTTAAATTTGGCTGGAGCCTTTTTTGCCAGCAAACACGATGAGGTACAGCTCCTGACTTGAAATAGAGTAGAAAGGTGAAGTGAATTAACTTACCTCCGGCTGTCCGCAGCAACCGCATGGCTTCATCAAACAGGTGCAAATCGCTGCCCAGATTCCAGCACCAAATGTAACAATGCCCAGGATAAGCATAATGGCAAGAATGGCCATTTTTCCACGATAGTTGTAATAATATCGCTCATAATAACGGTAATAATCGTAATTGTAGTAGGAATGATATCTTCTGAGCTGAGAAATCGCAATACTGTAACATATGATGATAACTCCACCCAATACAGCTGAGGTAATCGAAAACCCCATGAACACACCAGCCTGAGAAATGTAATAAATTTAAACAAACAACATTCAATACACAACAAGATACGATACTTGGAAGGCAAGATCAATAAAAAAAATCTTATCTATTAGAACGACCATAAAAACGATTCAAATCTGATCCCTTTTCCGCCTGCAATAAAGAATTATCGGATGAGGTTTTTGTGATAGCCGGAATAATCAAGGTCGAGGTAAGTGTTATCAGCCCAGCCGAAGGTCGGGGCCGAGACCTTGATTATTTTGGATATCACAAAAAACGAATCTAATAATTGTTTTATTATACATTGTTGTCAAGAAAATAAAGACAAAAACAGCATCACATGTACCCTACGAGCAGAGGCTACATTTTCGCTTTTTCTGCTCGCAGACGTTCTTGTTCTGTTTCAGATGTTCAGATATGGTGGCAAGCGAGGTAAGCTACGAAGAACACTACTTTATAACCGGCCGTGAATTTGGCCTGTATTTATAGGCAAATGGCGATAATTCATTTGGGAAACCGTGCTGAATCACACGTGAAGCCACGCCTTACTTACGAAAGCATTGCGGGAACTGGTTCTTTCTCTGGCACTTCCGGGTATTCCCAGACCCCCTGTGATGCACATCTGCAATGACAATATTGAATGGCACTTATTTAAGGTACACATCGTTTTTTTGTGCAATTATGTTCAACGTTTCGTGAAACCTATCAATGAACACAACTGGGAGCATACGACTGAGGGACTTTCCATGACAACATATATATAGCACTCCGTGCCTTATGGTTCAGGAACTTAGTGCATGCAATTTATTTCGGGTCAATTTAGGTTCCTGGGAGACTGCCCACCTACCCCTCCCCAAAGCTAACATTAACACTTACTTCTCACTTAGGGCAAAATGATGGGTAGGTGGACAGTTTCTCAGAAGGCTAAATTGATCCTTTATTTCGATTCTTCCAACGTCTCATGTTCTCGGCAGAGATGCTATCGTGACACTCTCGAAAGAGACCACTATAATCTTAGCATTTGAGAGGCCACTTTTATACGGGGGATAAATGTAAAATCGGGATAAGTTTTGTAATGATCGACGAATCAAGGGAGCGCCGGCATGCGTCAGCGGCCAGGGGGTTCTGATGGCTGCATGCATGTTCCTCCACAAAGAGTTTAAGCTCTTGATGCTTTGGAACGCCATTTCTAGTGTTCTGGGAGGACAATTTCTGTCTTAGCATGTCTTAGGGTTGAATTCTACTGTCGGCAACAGATCGGGATCATTGGACAGTGTACAAAAACTAAATATTACTTCGGTTCCTTTAACAAGTGGAATAATAAATTCCTTGTCTTAATTTGTTAGCAGATTTATTGTTTCCAACAAGTTCGTCTATGTTATTTTCAACGTGCAAAAACACCTTCGTACCGGACTTTAGTGAGTTGCGTGCCTTAGTTGTGATCCTTGTCATATAAATTATCGAATTGACTGACTTTGCTGGCGCCTTCTGACATAGTGTGAATGTCTGTTTTGATCCCTCTGTAAGTTGTGTAGGTCTCATAAAAGAGCAGAAATGGAAACAGGAAATACTCAACGAAACAATTATGACAAGCTGTTCAAAGCTCAATTTCGTGGGCTTGACAAATGGCTTTGAAATAGACAGGTTCTTTTGCCGCAGGCGTCGCATGTGAAATTTAGACCTTTGTTTGTCGCTCGTTCGTCGTATTTTAAACGACTTTTGTAACGAATTAGTAATAAACATAGTGTAGAAGCTTTAGGATCAGTTTGGTACACTTTTTAAGCTGATACAGTAAAGTCTTAGCATATTTACTTGCTTCTATCCTACTTCCTTTAAGACCGTGCTTGAAGATACAATATTTTTATCTTCATGAAGTAAGAACATTTGCTTACCCATATTCCGATCCAAATGCCGAAGTATACGTAGCCTGTCCAGTCATAATGATAATAATGGTAGTATCCCCTTCCTTTAACAAGTCGATCGGCGGTGCCAAAACCGATGAGTAAAACCCCAGTTACAATTTGAATGATGGCAAGAAACCTTGCCATTTTGGCAGCGTTCGTAGAGTTGCCCGCCATGTTATCTGAAGTCTAACACGCATAAAAAGATGCATAATTTAATACTTTGTTGTGTGATGAATGACGCAGACTATGACGAACTGAATTATGAAGAAGTTCGTCACACAATCTCCAGTCCATTTTAGAGAATATGACGGACGTAATGATTTGGCGAAGTTCAAACCTGTTTGAACTTCCCTAAATCAGCACGTCCGCAACAAGACAGTCGCAATTCGATAGGTCTATATTATAGGTTCATACCGGTATCTTAAGATAAGACCTATAGAGTGTCGATATATGTCTTCTGGCGTCTTGGTTCTGTTTAAAGACCTTTACAGGGTCCAAAGTCGAGCTGGTTTTTCGAGATGCGGGATTTGCCTTATTTGGAAGCCGGGATTCGGAATGTTGAAACAAAAAGAGAGCTTGATTCAACATTGAAAGGATGCATGGGGTGGGGTGGGGACTGTCGAAAATACATCGGGATTACGGGGGGTGACGGGTTTGAAGAACCCTATTGAGGATCCTCTGTTTAAACCAAATAGCGAGATAAACAAGCCAAAAATATACAACGAATTTTAAGGGTTTAAAATTGTTTCAGTGTACTATGAAGCAGTGTTGATCCCATCATTTACAGACTTACCCTCGAGGTCTCGTTTTTTTCTTTTTTTTTGGCAGTCGTTTGAAAATTTTAATAGAAAGGAAGAACATTCCGTCACATACGTTTTTAAAGACTTTATTTAGTCATTCATTTATACTTTTTGAGCATCTAGTCGAGATACCACAGTTTGGACGCGATTAGCTTTGCATATCAATTTTAATCTTGTTTCTACTCTTTGTAAGAATAATGTGACGCTACCAAGAGTTTACAACGTATTTTTTTTAGTACTTAAGATCTGTAGACATAAATTAGTTCTTAATCATAATGATACTTTTCTTCTCAACTTTTTGTAGTACCGTGTAAACATAAAGTTGTTCCCTTTGTTTGTGCTCATGTAATTAAGAGTTTCTAAAACTGGAACTTATTTCAATCTCATGATCTATTTCATGTTTCCCGTACTAGGCTGTTTTCAAACACACTGGTACCCTTTAAGCCCTAAGAGTGATCAGCGTCAAATTTCTCCTTGTAATATCACTGCTTTATAGAACAGAGTGGTCATGACAGTTTAGGACAAGATCACACAAGATAAATCTAATTGATACTTCAACAAATTCTCCCCACTACTTCTAATGAAAACGTATAGGGATAACAAATGAAACTTTGAATTTTGATGCTAGGATTTAAAGTGTTAGAAAACAACGACAGCAAATCGAATGTTTTTAATATTAATAATATTTTTCGCTTTTTTTTCCTCTTTGTAGCTATAGTTACTTAAAGCATTTATTTATCATGATTACACCAATATGAAATGCACCAGGTTCGTCTACAGCTTCACTTGCAGCTATAAAAGAAAGGAAAGAAGACAAGTGTTAGATTTTAACTTATAGAGTCGTATGTTTGACTGGTCTTACTAATGTCGATTCGACTATCTAAAAAGTCATGTAATTACCTACATAAGGTTTCGTGATCATGTTATGTACAGAAAGGGGTGGTATTACGAGAGTCGGACAGCAAGGGTCTCTTCCAAGGATATGCCTGTTTTTGTAATCATCATCATCATCATCATCATCATCATCATCATCATCATCATCATCATCATCATCATCATCATCATCATCATCATCATCAACATCGTCACCAACATCATCACCATCTTCATCAACATCATCATCATCATCATCATCATCATCATCATCATCAACAACATCGTCACCAACATCATCACCATCTTCATCAACATCATCATCATCATCATCATCATCATCATCATCATCATCAACATCGTCACCAACATCATCACCATCTTCATCAACATCATCACCATCTTCATCAACATCATCATCATCATCATCACCATCTTCATCAACAGCATCGTCATCATTATCATCATTATCATCATGCTATCCTATCGTTATCGTTTAATGTTGTCAGTCTGAGTGTTATTCGTGAACTCTACTAATTAAGTCACGTGTTGATGGGCAGCATTTTCACTCTCTGACACGCGCAAAGCTAGGCTCGATTTTCGCCATCCCAAACAGAAGCTGATAATTCAGCCTAGCGGAAAGCCTAGGAAAACATGTGGCAAAAGTTCCATCACAGCTAAATGCTTCCTCGGTTTTACTCAGTGGATGTTCTCGTCTCGCGACATGTTCGCTTAGTTTTGCATTACCCCCACCCTACTATAGAGAGTATCAGACAAACCTGCTCGTCGTGCAGTGCAACGTAACCTCCACGTGTGAACGAAGGAGCCTCCTGCTGCTGCTGTAGGGTATTCGTAGCCATCCCTTCAGGTGAGGCAGCTTGCTGGACTACCATTTGACCCCCTGCTGCACCAGAAACAGGCACTAGCACCATCGGTTGATGGTAACCCTGTGCTGCTGCTCCACCGGCGCCTGCTTGCATTGCCTGCACAGGAACAGCCACAGGAACACTACCCGCGGACATTTGGGTCATGACGTAACCACTGGCTGGATAACCGTACATCTGCTGGTCTACCTGTAATTATTTCAAATATTACAAAATTACCCTGACATATACACATGTATATAAAAGACCCTTCATAAAATGTCAACAAGTCCACAGCAACAAACCAATGAGTAGTGCCGGATCTCTCAGTTGTAGACCTGGATCAGTACAATTAAACTAATAATCAATATATATATTTCAGCAAATTACCCAATTTGTTTAAATATATATTTTTCTGTTTTATTCTTTTTTTTACTTCTTCATCACCTTGCCGTAAGGATCAGTTTGCCGTTTCATGTTTTTATATACACATGTACTCTAGGTGTGCCATGGGTACAAATTTTTACTATAATTTTCTTTTGTTATTTTTTAAACTACAGAAAAGGCTTTTTTTATGGCTGTTGTTACTTTTTTTTTCTTGAACATCCAACCCACACAACGTCCTCACTACGCAAACTCGATGCAATAAAATAGTAAAGTACAGTAGAATACTTATGACAGAAGAATGAAAGTGCAGTAAGTTATATATTCAGGGCCCACTTTCGGTTACAATATAGGGCCTTAACGTAAAAAGATTACATCGACAGCCTTACAGCATGCGCAGCGATAGTCTGACTAGAATTTCTGAGCAATTTTCAAAATGAAACTGCTGACGCCCGACTTACCTGCGGTTGTCCGCAGCAAGCGCATGGCTTCATTAGACAGGCACATATTGCGGCCCAGATTCCAGCCCCAAATGCAATAATACCCAGGATAAGCATTATGGCGAGAATGGCCATCTTTCCATCATAGCGGTAATAACCTCGCTCATAGCTATAGTCGTAATCGCCGATCCAAGAAATCACGATACTGTAACAAATGATGATAACTCCACCCATTACAGCTGAGGTGATAGAGAACCCCATGAAAACACTAGCCTGTGATGTGCAAGAAAAATAGGAGAACATTAATCAAACAGTGGTGGATCCAGGGGAGGGTCTTGGAGACCGCCCCCCCCCCCTCCCCCTCCCCCTCTGTCAAGGTCTGGATCTGCCACTGCTTACATGAAGGTCGTTCATCTTTTCAAGTTCACAAGCAAAGGAAGAGCAATAATAAAAGTCAGTCAGCCATCATAAACACCGTTTTCAAATCAGATCGCCTTCGAGCGCTTGCTAATTACTAATTATTTATGAAATGAGTTCTTTATTTTAAGGCGGGTGGTGGTCACTTTATTGAGAAAACTGCGATGAATAGTTCAGGGTTGTCATTGCTGACAAACACACGTAAAACTGGTGGTGGTCTTTAATAGTTTTACACTGATAATGACCATTTTTGGTCCGACGTCTTACTTACGAAAGCGTCGCGCGAATAGGTGCGTTCTCTGGCACTTCCGGGTATTCCCAGACCCCCTGTGATGCACATCTGCAACAGAGCAAAATTGGCAGAATTCAGTAAAATACAGGTTGACGTTTTTTTAACAAAAAATACGCCAAGAAAATTGCAGTGGGACTTGACGAAACTTTATAGCAAATTCATTTGCCTTATGAAAGAATGATACCTGAAATGACGTGGTCTAGCGGAAGTTAGTTTTCTTTCGCAAGGAGACAAGAAAATATTCTTCAAATGCACATTATCTATTCAGGCAGAATTTACATTCTATCGCTTAAGAATAAAACCCCTTAAAATTATGTGAACAAGTTGTATGCAGTCACGCCTTATACGCGTTCCGTTATCCGTATTATCTAAATTTTCCTGTATCCTCTTCGACAAAGACTTTAAATTGCAAAACGCCATAAATCAAAGGCTCCTAGGAGCGAGCTCATGGATGAATTGAATTAGTGTAGAAAAGACAGTTCAATAATCAAAGAAAAACATATAAATCTTTTTGAGCGGTTCATGGTGTACGGACTTTCCAAAATACAGCGTGACTCGAAGTATCCGACAGCATTTCTACTTACAAAGCAAAGATCACTTTTAAAGGCAATTTTTAACGCTTTTTAGTTGTAAAATAATTTGCTTTCTCATGTGACTGTCAAAAACTTTCCGAACGACAGTGCACTTTATTTTCTTGTAAAATAGCCAAGTTTTACATACGTGAGTTTTATTTAAACCGTGGTTTTAAAAGTGCGATGCTTTCAAATAAATGTTTCCATATGATGAATACGTAACGGTTAGTATACGCGGTACGAGCTATATTAAATAGAGAATACAGGCGTTTATGGCTAAATTGAACTGCTTTAGAACGCGCTTTTGATAAACACGAGCTAAAAATTATTTTAATACATGTAAAACGGATTATTAAGCTCAAAGCAGTACGTGCTCTGACCTAGCCAAGTAATTTAAACGCAGTCGAAGTATCCGATTGCTTTTCGCCAAAGACTTGTTTATACCAGCGCAGCATTTCTCGTAGAAATTACATTAATAGCACTGCTAAATGGAATCACCGACAAACAAAGGCCTACTTTAAGGCAAAGATCACCCAAGAATTCAAGCAAAATAGCGTAACGCTTGTTGGTTCTAAAACCTGTGCTTCTAGTTGACACAACATAATTCATTCCCTGTTTGCATACGAAGACAAATGGTCGAACGGAATCGTCCAAATAACTGAATAAACCACAATAGATACTCCTCAATGTTGCTTTAACAATTCGAGGACCGTTTTTTTGCAGTGATTATAAGGCTCTTTGGCTTATTCGCTTTTCGCTGAACGAAATCCCATCGTCAGGCTGCAATAGCTCTTTCACACTCCTGTTGATCGCATCTTCTCCATATCAAGTATAATATCGGGAACAAATGTGCACAATTCGTCCAAATATACAACAATGATCCACGCTCAATCATTTCAATGTCCTTTTAACAATTCCAAGTCCATTTCTTGCGGATGATATTATCAGTGTTTTTTTAAAATATTGTTATTTATACAAGACCCACCTCTATAACTGATGTGTCGGGAAAAAAAATTCGCCTTATTAGTACCCTCTAGAATATTCCAAACATATGCGTAAAAGGCACTTGGAAAAAAGGTAGTACTAAGTAAGGGAGGTAGGAGTAACGTGTTTAATCTGACTTTAATGAATAAATTAATGAGAATCGAGTGAGTGAGTGAGTGAGTGAGTGAGTGAGTGAGTGAGTGAGTGAGTGAGTGAGTGAGTGATCGAGTGCCATTCGAGTGCCTCCAAAAGCCCATGGCATGACTACGTCATCCATGAGCTAAAAACGAACTTAGAAAGGAACGACTGCGCATCCTTGTGCGCATAATACTCGTTATATTTCGTTAACCCCTTCACTGCCAGAGTGTTTGATGGAGTTTTTTAAGGCGAGTCTAACTTTTGAGTCTGTGGACGAAATCCGATGATGCGACCATTCAAATGAAAGCTCTCTGCGTCTACTTTCATATGGTGCTATTTGTTTGTCAAAATTTTAGAAAATGAAATTTGGAAATGTGGTCGAAATTTGCCATCCATGAGCTAAAAACGAACTTAGAAAGGAACGACTGCGCATCCTTGTGCGCATAATACTCGTTATATTTCGTTAACCCCTTCACTGCCAGAGTGTTTGATGGAGTTTTTAAGGCGAGTCTAACTTTTGAGTCTGTGGACGAAATCCGATGATGCGACCATTCAAATGAAAGCTCTCTGCGTCTACTTTCATATGGTGCTATTTGTTTGTCAAAATTTTAGAAAATGAAATTTGGAAATGTGGTCGAAATTTGCCATCCATGAGCTAAAAACGAACTTAGAAAGGAACGACTGCGCATCCTTGTGCGCATAATACTCGTTATATTTCGTTAACCCCTTCACTGCCAGAGTGTTTGATGGAGTTTTTTAAGGCGAGTCTAACTTTTGAGTCTGTGGACGAAATCCGATGATGCGACCATTCAAATGAAAGCTCTCTGCGTCTACTTTCATATGGTGCTATTTGTTTGTCAAAATTTTAGAAAATGAAATTTGGAAATTTGGTCGAAATTTGCCTTTGGCCACATTTGGCAGTGAAAGGGTTAAAACGCTAGACTGGAACTAAGGATTTTCACGTCACCTTCTCAACCAACGTCTCTAAATTTTCCCTATGCATGTACTCTTCTCTCATTCAATCTCCAACGTCGAGATTCTTTTCAAATGCGTGATACGTGAACCAACATTTGGGGAAGGCGTTACGTGAAAAGTGTTTTCAACAAATGTGACGAATATTGAAGTTCTTTCAGAGCTAGACTGCTTGCAATCCGTCTTTTCTCTTAAAATCTGTATAGTTCTTATCTCAGCCAGCGCAAAGAAAAATAAGAGACTGCTCGCGGACTATTTCAGAACCGATGCGTTTTAGACCGGAAGCAGAGCAGTGCAGGGTATTCTTTAATTTAACCCTGTAAGCTCCGATATCCACTTACAAATCTTCCAGGCTGATCGCCATACATTTCCTTAAATAATTAGTTGAGCGCATTTGATAACGATCAAAGCATTTTCCCTCATCATTTTTTTCCTTCTCATAACCTTTCCAATATTGTTAGGAGAAAATTGATGTTAGGCCCGTTTCAAACGTCGTGCTACTGCCGTGCCGAACTCAATTCATGAATTATAGATACCTTAGAATATATTTAAAAGTTTGCTAAACCGTTTCTTTATCTTTGTGTTTTGTTTTTGGCAACAGCCGTTCCATTCGACTGTCACTGTGTGAATTAAAGTAGACGTCTGAAACCAAGTCGTACTAATGTCGTACGTGCAGCAGTCGAGCTACAGTCGAGCCAGCTTAGCACGGCAGTAGCACGACGTTTGAAACAGGCCTTAATTAGTCGCCCTTGAGACTAATAAAGTTCACTGTGATAATAATGTGCCACTCAACTCATAGCATATGTTAAAACGTCGAGTGACAACATGACACTGCAGGCAATTTAACTCAAACGAGATGCTAATTAATTGTCTACGAACCCGCTGATGTCGAACTTCCGTGTTCAAAATCATCGGTAAAAAAGCAAACCTGGGCAACAATAATTTGAACAGAATATGAAAAAACAGGGGGAAATGAATACAGGACGTACTCCTCACTTTCGGGGGTTTAACAGAAAGCTTAAAAGACGTCTTAAAAATAAATAGCTAGATATCTCTGTCGGTTAAATGAAATTGAGTTCGTGGGTCTGGCGCGCGTAATATTCATCTTCAGGCGAACTTTTCAACGACGTGTTAGTCAAGAACCGAGACTGGGCAGATGATTCTGGGCCTTCTTCATACATTTCAAGCTAATGCAATTGCTTTAAACTGGTCAGAACACATTCACTGGGCAGGCGTGTTCTTCCTCCTCGATCGAAGCAGCGAGATACTGCTCGAATCGGATTAAATGCGACTAACACTTACCCATATTCCGATCCAAATGCCGAAGTATACATAGCCTGTCCAAGTCCACGCAACAATTCGATCGGCGATGCCAAAACCGAGCATTAAACCCCCTGTAATGATTTGAACGATGGCAAGAATCCTTGCCATTTTAGCGGCGCTTCTCGAGTTGTCTGCCATTTTGAGAGGAATCGATCTATGCATGTGGTGCAGCACGGAAATTGTAGTTTGCATTATATTAGCGTCTTGAAACACGCATAACGAATGCATCTCAATTTTCATCACGCAATCTACCATTTCAAAGTCCTCTCGCATAAAATGATCATTTTAAGCCGAAATTGTCCTTTTGTTGCGATTAAACGAGAACGGTGACCCCGTTTTTATTTGTGTTTTTTACTTGTTATGGCTACACAAAAATTATATATTGAGGAGAAAAAACCTGGATAGCAGAAGTGGTTTTTTTTTTGCTGTTATGAATGGTTCGAATTTCCGTATTTAGAGCCACAGAGAAGGACGAGATAATGTTAAGACTGTCTATTTCTCTACAATTTTTCAAGACTGGGTAATTTAGGGCTACTCAACTGAAAAAATAAGGCCCAGAAAAAAAGAAACGGGCCCTAAGTTTATAGTGAGATTCAGGGTTTTTGCTATAAAATAAGTATTTTTGACGATTGTTTAAGTTTCGAACATTTTGCGCCCAACTAGCTAAGGAAAAAACACTCAGAATTACGGGGCACACAGGGTGAAAACAAGCACAAGTGACCCCATCTTTTTATTACAGTTTTTGGATGTACTATATATGGCTGACAATTAAGCCAAGTTTGAAAAAATCTGGAGAGAACATCATTACCAAGCCGGAAGGGAATTACCTTAAACTCAGAGCCACGCCACGCAAATTAATAAGTGAACATGCAATCGGGACTGGAAAGACTACGGGCAGTCTCTCTTTTTTTTTTTTTTTCAGTCGGACGAGCGCGACGCTAAATCACTAACTGGAAAAATAGTACTTTATTGAAGATGAGAATTACATTTTATGTATGAAGGAAATCCGGGGGACATCGACTTTGGTTCGAGTTAGCGAAGTTCGAGTTATCTAGCCTGCGTAGCAAGCGTTTCCGTTTGGTTCGGACTAAAGAAAGACCGAGGAACGGGATTTTCGGTTTTGCCCGCGCGAGAAATATAACGAGACGAGCCAAAAAATGAAAGAGGGGGGAGGGGGAGGGGGAGGGGAAGGAAGGAAGGAAATTTTACTTGCGCCATTTTTCGCGCGGCTTCTTTCCTCGTTTGGTCCTGAACCGCACGGAAACGCTAGAACGCAGGCTACGCGTTAGCGGGAGTCAACTACATAAATGTATAAGAGAACCTTACATGCGGTTAAATTTTCAGACCTCGCTGTCCCAAAATGACTAAAATGTACTCCTAAAATGTACAACTGGCTGGAGAATCAATAAAAGAATGATGTCTAGCTCAGACAGCACTTGGTTACGGTAGGAAATGTTTCAACCGACAACGTGAGCTGACTTCAAACGTCGTGCACACTCAACGATGGAACTAATTCAAGGAATGTAAATAACCTAAGCTCGGAGAGAATTGTTTTTGGATAAAAGTGACCTTTATCTCTAAGTCTAATTCTCAGTTACCCATCTCAAGTTTTGGGGTTGGATGGTCTCTTTTAAGGTTATCTTATGGCTCATGTTCATTAGATGAATCATCGAGTCAAAAATAAATGGGGAAAGCTAGTTCTTAACCGTTGCCTGTCAAGCTCATAGCTAAGAATCAGTAGAGTGGCAATGAATGTTTACGGCAATATTTTGCGAATATTTAGCTTGAATGTGTAAGGTAGTTCCCAGTCTTATGTGTGGTGTGGTTATTTTACCGCTGCTAACGGTCATTTATTATTCATTCTAAATATTTCCCCGATTCTGATTGGCTAAAAGCACATGTTTAATTCACCATAACCAGTTACTGATGACCAAATTTGGAAAAAAATTGTGTTTAGCGAGGAAATAACGTCAAAAATGCAGCGTTCTTGCAGGTTAACGCACTGTTAACCGAGAAGACCTGGAAACGAGGTTGAGTTGTTTTGGTTGTGAACTTGAAAAATGGCAGACATTTCACTCGTTTCAAGAGTACGAACTAGGCGAAAAAATAGCTAAAAAAATGGCAAGAACAGCAAGAAGACAACTCCAAGAGCGACATCTGCTATTTGGAGAATATTTGCGGAGCTGAATAATCCTGAACGTGCCCTATCGAAGATGAACTTAATATCGATGGATCGATGGATCGATGGAGGTAAGCATGTTTTAGCCACGTTTTTAAACTAGGAATTATTTTAAATGAATAATAAAACAATTATTGAGTTCGGCTTTCGTATCATATGAAGAATTATGGAGATCTCGGAGAGTGTTATCGGCCTCGGCCTACGGCTTCGACCGATAACACCCAGTCCTCGATCTCCATAATTCTTCCGTAAGATATTCAGCCTCATTCATTAATTGTTTTAAAATATTCGACGCCTGCAGGATGCCTGTCTTCGTGCTTGTTAAAAAACGTTGGGTCGATTTTCGAGATTCCAAGAACCAAAACATTAAAATTCGAGACTCCGATACGATACGATACGAATCAATTTTTAGCGAGCCCGAGATTCCGAGACTTCAAATGCCAAAATTTTCCGAGACCCACGTTTTCTAGGTACCATTCTATACCTCTTACACTGAGTGTGGACACTTATCCGATATGTGACTCCCTTACGTCTTTTATCAGAGGCAAATAAAGGGATGTCTCAATAGAATTTTCACAAACTATCAATACAAACAGAACGTCATGCACCGAGATACTTAGCTTCAGTTCAGTAGTTTGCATATCAACAATTTCCCTTGATCATAACTGTGTAATCAAAATTCTTTTTGAAATAATAAAGTGACTCACTCAACTGAAAATAACAGGAAGCTAGATCAACCATGAAAAAAATTAACAATCGTTTTTTGATGAAAAAACAAGAGGTCTGCACGTGCATCATATCTTTTATATTTTACATTTCTTTGCTTTACATGGAACTTTTATGGAGGACGTAAAGACACTCTTGAATTTGCATAGAGTCCTTCTAAAAGAATTCAGCTCAATGAAAAATTGCCTTCGTTTGACAAATTGTAGACTACGAGTAGTCCCCCATTTTTCCTCCGGGATAGTAGAGCGAGCGAAACGCGAGCGGGCGTGAAAATCACCCCACGCGAGAAAAGGCGACACGCGGCGTGGCGTGATTTTCACGCGCGCTCGCGTTTCGCTCGCTCTACCGTGATCCCTGAGGAAAAATGGGGGACTACTCGTAGTCTAGACAAATTGAGCTGGCCTGAATAAATGTGATCGAGTTTGAAAGAACGCAAAATCATTTTTTTGTTTTTTGGCGACGTTTTCAATGCGGTCGTCGTCTAATGATTGCTAATGAGATTGCTAATATTTATCATTACTGACGACTGGAAAAGTCCAGAGGTTTATTTATAAACAAAACAAGAAAAAAATTTAAGCTGTTTCGTTCATTGTTTCTATGACCCTGTTTACATGGAGTGGGGGACCCCGGTTTAGTGGGGTTGGTTTCTTTTGTTTTCACGCTCTGGGGGACACAAAACAAAAGAAACTTACCCCACTAGACCGGGGTCCCCCACTCCATGTAAACAGGGTCTAAGTTGTCCGGCAACGCAAGAATGTTTTCCCTTAATGCTTACATTACATTGTAATTACTTGTTGATGCATAACGTCACAACCTCAAATAATACAATAGGGACTAACGTGCATCCACGCAAACAAGCTTTAGCTGATTAGAAGCTTACCTTTCTGCCATAAATAAGGCTACCACTCTTTTCTCTCTTTCAACCTGGTAAGTTCGAGCTGAACAATTATTTTACATACCTGAATAAGACGTGTTATTAAGTTATCTAAACTTTCAACTATTTTAAAATTCAATCGATAATGTAGAACTTAGAAACGGATGCATGACTTCAACTTTGAACTATCGTATTGTAAACTGACTTTACAATCTTGACAAAAATATGTGTTGGACTCTTTTAAATCCTTTATTTTAAGCTCTTAGAGAGTCTTAAAATCCGAAGAGCCTGGTTACTTATTTTAGGAAATTATTTTTTCAGTTGTGCTTAAGATGATATATGAGTTGTTCCTTTAGTGGGTATGAAAGACGGCATATTTAACATCAGGCCAGGTTATATGACGAGTCAGAAATGTTTAGAATACATGGGATTTTTAGTGACAAACATGATAGAAGTAGCTGAGATCGTTAAAGACGAAGTCACCTTTGAATCAATATCTGCCGTCATTTATATGTCACCTGGTTGAAAAATCGTACAAAATGCGTTAATGTTATACATTAACTGATTGTGAATTCAGCTGGTTTTTCAATTAACTTCAAAGTTTCGCAAATGCTATAGCGAGCAGTCATTTACATGTCATGTAATTTCTGCCTCTCTTTTTTCATACCTGTCTCACGTATTTACCTCCAATCACTAGCGCTGAACAATCAATCAATCTGAGCGTATTGAAAAGATCATTTTTTAAGACTTCCGCTATCTTTTGGCTTGAGTAACCCCTGTCCAATATTGCTGCCACAAAGGTACACATACCGAAATACTGAACAGTCTATAGGCGTGATTTAATGAACAATTATAGTATTTAGTCATGCCTCCAGTTAGCTACTGGAGCATGGTATCTTTGAGCGTCGTATAACTGGTTTAATTAAACGTTCAACCTTAAATTCCGGGTTGAGAAAGAACAAAAAAACAGTGCTATTTTGTTAGAGTTGATTACAAGAGTGAGCTAATTAAATGTCACTAGTTTACGATTCCATTGTTAGTCACCATTCATACGCCGAGTGAGAAATTCATTCACAACGACGGATTACTTTCAGTCTGACAAGAACAATTAAAAACTGCGCTACACGAAAGTAATCTTGTGGCCGTGTTCGATTCAAATGAAAGCCCTTAGGCACCAAACATTTCAAGTGTGGGAGAGCCACCTACAACAGAATAGGCAGTTAAAGTTCTTGGAAAAGTCCTGCGTCTGATTATTTTAAGATGACTGATTTAAAATGCCGTGCGTCTGTGACCACATGGATCAAAACATTCACGTACATCCAAAGCAACTTCATTTTTTATTTAATTCTTTATTAGAAAACATAAACATTGTTTTTTTTTTTCTGAAATTGAGCCCAACTATTAATGATAACGCCACTGCGCGCGCAACCTTAACCTACACGTTAGATAATTCAGTTATCTGCTAATAGACAACTTGAGTAATTAATAGGGTGCGCTGATTTTCGAAATTAACATAGGTTCTTAGACAATGAGAAGAATGCTCAATACTGTCTTCATTTTTAAAGGTGGTAACACGTAGCTTTTCTTTATAAGTGTGATGTGACATAGAGCAGTTTTATGGAATAACAATCAGAGAGGCCTAGCGATGGGAAACTCAGTGGATTGCTGTTATACCACCCGACAATACAACCAGTGTTATTTCCCATGCATTCGGACTTGTTCGTACACCAATCGCCGAGTGTGGTACAATTACGATGGACTGGAGAGTGTTCAGCCCTTGATTGACGTCATCAAACCCGAAGGGAGAGTGATTCACAAGTTTCCTACAACGCTGGCGGACATTACTGAAGATCATGAAATAGCTAAAGCGTTGGCGTCAGGTATTCAGTTAAACAGATTAAAATAGAGAATTCAAGGTCCGGTTTATATGGAAACCTGTCCCGGGTAGGAAGGTTACCTTCCCTCCTGAGTCAGCGTTAATTTGAGCAAGCGTTTTTATGGGTAAAAAGTTGACCACAGCCAACAACGCTTACGCATGCACTGAATGTATCGCCTTGACTTGGTTGACCCGGCTGGGCGAGCCAAAGTGTGGTGAAACGTTGGCCCGGCTAGGAAGATGACCAAGCTGAGCGAGTCTCCCATCTCACAGGGCGAACTTTTGGTTCTCAAGTAGCCTGCGTAGCATGGCAGTTTTGTCGGGAGCACGACTCAGTGAGCGGCGAAGCCGCAAAAAACGCGCGCTCATGATGTTAAAGGTTTTCTGTTTCTCATGCAAACTAATTGAACACAGTACCGTACCTCTCCTTCATAAAAGGGTACCGTGACATTTTCTTTACCTTCTTCTGTTTTCCTTAGACATTTAAGACCCTTCGTATTAGTCCGATCCTGAAAATCGAACTCACGACCTGCTGTCTGTCAGCACTTTAACACTTGAGTTAACGCTATTGCCGTTTAAAAAAATATTCCGTGATTTGTTTTTATTTCATGTTGACTTCAAAAAGCCAACAGACAATTTTTTATATATGCGCAGGCCTCGATCCACCGGGACAACTAGCTGCCATCTGTCGCTTCGCCAGTAACTATGGATACCGAATTCGCGCCGTAGGAACTGGATCCTCGTGGTCTCGCCTGACCAGTACACGCGACATTCTGATTGACATGACAAATCTGAATCGTATTTTAACCCGTAAGCCAGCGAACCGACGAGAAAATCTACAGAAGGAATACGTGGACATCGAAGTAGAAGGGGGAATGCAGGTTTATCGGTTTGTTGAGAAGCTCGACAAGGCCTATGGGCTTGGGCTCCCGATGATGGGAAATTATGCGGGGCAGACAGTTGCTGGGGTGGCTTCTACATCCACGCATGGATCCGGTTATTTTTCTGGGACTATGGTAGGTGGTACTACTTAGAAAGGTGTCGAAAGGGGTAATTACATTGGACCGATAAGGGGCTTGCGCTGGGTACAAAACCATACCCATACATTATATTTTCAAGTTTAATTGACTCTATGATTATGTACTTATTTAATTGACTAGTGTATTTAGTTCGTTATTTTTTTAGACTATTTTCCTACTGATATGTATACCTTGTCAGAAACTGTGCTCAAATTGCGGGTGGCCCCTCCTAAAATGTTCTACAATTGGTATAGTATTTAATGGAGCAGAAACCAATTGTGAAACTGCACACATTTTATCCAACTGATGGACAGTCACGACTTATAACAATTTGCCGTCTGTCCCCTTTGAATTGAATACGTTACATACGAGAATGATCAGTGTTATATTAGTTATTGAAGCTGCACCTTGGAATTTTCTGCAAACATATACTGAGAAATCAAAATGGTTGGGCAGCTTCTTAGATTATCCAGGGAGATACCGAAAGTCATTGAACTGTTTTGAGGAATCCTTTATCCTATGCACACTGAGGAACACGCCCATTTCGAGTCTTTGTCAAAATTCTTTGACCAACAGTTACAGAAATAGCTGGAAGTTGTTTGCGCCGTGATTTAGACAAAGCTAAACGAGTCTTTTGGTCGCGCATCGCACTCGGCTATGTCTACCGCTACCCCCTGTGTCGTAACGCTTATAACAATGAGCTAGCTTAAATGCACCAGAGAACGTAGGGGTTATAGTTGAGGGCAAAGCGAGAAAACTATGTCCAGCCAAATGCCTCTATCGATAAAATGATGGTACGCTCGGCGTTAATAAAAATAACTACAGCTGTAACTAACTGTAAGTGAATGTATACTTCCACATGTCGTATGTATTTTTCTCTTTTTACGCAGTCGACCTTAGTTGTTGGTTTCCATTTAATCATCTCAAACGGCATTCAAGTTAAACTGACCAGAGGGGACGAAACATTTGACCGATGCCAAGAAAAAATCAAGCGTGCGCAGTACGGCGGAAACCCAGTAGAGCTCAAAAGCACCGATGTGTTTTGCGCAGTGGCTGTTGGATTGGGCTCCCTGGGCATTATCTACTCCATCACCTACCGTTGTATCCCTGTGTATAATATTGAAGAGGAAAGAACTGTTGTCCAAATCCCCTGGCCAGGTCAGAAGGCGTTTCATGTTCATCATAAATTTGAGGCAATCCTGCGGAACCGCACAGAAGGGGAGTTTTTCTCAGTGTTTGTTAACCCGTATCCTGAGCCGAAGAGGTAATAATTCGCGATATCATTACCCTTCTATACAGTTGACCCGCCATTACGCGGCCACCCTCGGGGAACCTGTAAGTAGCTGCTTAATGGAGGTTGGCCGCTCCGTAGAGGTTCGTTGTAAATTAGCAAAACATGAGCATAATCTTCGGCAGAAGCATTACTTTATTTTGAAACAAACGCCCGACGGGAGTAGCATTACTCGTCCACAATCCGTCGTCAACTTCCATCTCAGATTGTATTTTCCTCCATTTTATTCTTGAAATAAAGCCAAACTATTGGATATAGGTGATAAAAATAGGGGAACTCTCGTTGGGACGGTAATTAAAAAGGTGGCCGCGGCCGCTTTATAGAGGTTTAAGTACCCATTCTTTTCTTCAAATATTTCGGGATTTTATTACTGGCCACTTAATGGAGGTTCAACTGTAGTTAAGAAGTAAATACAATCAAAACTTACTGAAGACACAACAAAACGCATTTTATGAAGGACGTGAACGTACAACGAAGAATTTTCCTTTCTATTTTTGAACCTGGATTAAGTCCTTATGATTCAACTCCAGGAAAAAACGCCCACATTTGAAAAATAGAGCGGGTCCAAACAGATGCAATAAAAGTTGCAAACGACGCATATTCATTTTTTTTAGCGATGTTCGCCATCGTCGTCATTGTCGTTGGTTAAGCTACTTATTACTGAACACACGAAAAAAGGGAATTCATTTGCTATAATTATTTATTTTTCTTTAGATATTTGTACGCAGCATACCTAAAAGGAAAGAGGACCACCCGCAGCCCAACATGCTGTGCCTGTTGCTCTTGGTGGTGTTGTAAGGGTGGCAGAGGATGCGCAGAAGTTGGCTGTATGCAGACAGACTGTACAGCGTCTTGCCTTCAGACGTGTGCTTCATGTTGCCCAACACGAATTCCCGATATCACGAACTTTGGCGTTTCTCAATTTTCTCACAAACATCCTTACGTACAGAAATGGTACAATGTTTTGCAGTTCACCAAAGGCAACATGCAGTGAGTATTTTACTTTTTATCTATTTGAGGAAAACAGCTGACAGAAAACAAAAGAAATCGCTGGTAAAAAGAGCTTTTTGTAATTGGTAATTTGAAAGATCTTAAAAAAAACTCGACGTAGTGTTTTCATCTTGTAACCCGAAGTTTGGGGGTGCGGAGGAATCAGCTACGCCTTTTTCTGCCATCCTATCTCAGGGCTTTAGGATGTCGGTTGAAACACTTCAAATCGTGTTTAATGAATTGCATTACTTGAAAGCCTTTTAATATATATGATCACTAAATTTTATGAATTGAGGAACAAATACCCTGAAAATATCATGACCGACAAACGTAATAAGCTTATTGGTAGCAAAACAAATTGATTTTCGGATACGAAAAGCCGCGCGCAGTGATCACGATGTTCGTGTCTTTCAAATGACCATGTAAGTGAACTGAATTGTGGCTAACCAGAGTAAACAGATCCTGTGTAATCGTTACAGTAACAGACTGCTTCTGGGCTAATTAGTAGTTTTTGTTGAGGAGTGAGTATTGTTTTGTATTAAGTAACTGAGGTGGTAGCATACAACAACTGCGAATCGAATTGAACCGGAAGAACTGCCTGCCCATTTCAAAGTTGCTGTAGGGAAATGTTTCTTTTAAACTCTGTCCTAGCCAGGTGTATTTCAAAAGGCATTTTACTTAAGGCAAAGAGAAAGGTGTATCTTCCCTTTAACTATAATTGCTATCTCTCACATGGTCAACAGATGAGCAAATTTTCTTGGAAAATAACCAGGGAAAAAGTGTTAAATTCCACTACAGGAAATGTTTGGTATTAACAGTCTTCACATGGTCGCCCTTCCATTGTTTTGTACACTAAAGGTGAAGTTACACGGGATGAATCGGAACGACGATTTTTAGCAAAACACAGCGCAATGTTGCAATGTTGCAGTTGTAACCATTTGAAACAATATCGCAACAATGTTGAATTGCAACGCTGTGTTGCGGTAAAAATCGTCGTTGCGAATCGTCCCGTGTAACATCGCCATGATGGCTTCAAAGTAAGCGGTTCAGTTGAGATAATGGCCACTTTTGTCTCCCTTTACAGCATTCGTACAGCTGAATTTTGCCTTCCATTAGCACATTTAGACGAAGCTTTGGGTGAAGTCATTGAAATAGCCAACCAATATGCCAAGAGGTTCAGGCAGTATTCTTTGTTACCAATTTATGTTCGGTTTGTAAAGACAGACGACCTGTACCTTAGTCCGGCGAACAGCAAATGTGCAGTGGATGGAAGTAACAATGACCATGCCTGCTATATAGAGGTACAAATGTTAAATAAACCTAAAATGATAATGGTAGTGACAACGATAACGGTAACGATAATGATAATGATAACGGTAGCAGTAACGTTGACAGTAACGGTAACGGTAACGGTAAAAGTAAGGGCAATGGTATTGATAACGATAATGGTAACGGTAACAGTAACAGTAAGGGCAATTGTTTTGATAACGATAACGACAACGGTAACGGTAACGTTGACAGTAACGGTAACGCTAACGGTAGCAGTAAGGGCAATGGTATTGATAACGATAATGATAACGGTAACGGTAGCAGTAAGGGCAATGGTATTGATAACGATAATGATAACGGTAACGGTAACAGTAAGGGCAATGGTATTGATAACGATAATGATAACGGTAACGGTAGCAGTAAGGGCAATGGTATTGATAACGATAACGACGGGTAACGATGACGATAAGGATAATAATAATGACAATGATAACTAAAAGCAAGACTTTGTGAACTCTGTATAAGAACATAGTTTTTTTAGGGGTTTGAAAGATCAGCTCTCTTTGTCTAACAAATAAATAAACACATTAGTGGGGGATGGTCGTGGAGGGTATAAGTTTCATGAAGGGACAGCGAGATTAGTTAAGGGTGGCAGTTGTAGCCTTGCACGAGAAAGCTTTTTCCTGTAAGAAATCACTGAGGATTACGTGTTTTTTGTAGTTTTTTCATTCACGGAAAGGGTCTCAATAGTAACGTCGCGTCGTCCAATTTAATTCCAACCACGGTATTGGAAATATTTATCATCAATTAATTCTCCTTAATTTTCAGATCCCCTTTCTACCAGGAGCATTCGGTATCGAAGAATATCACAAGAACATCGAGGACAAACTGTTCACAAAGTATAAGGCTCGACCACACTGGGGCAAAAATCATCACCTTACGACAGGCAGAATTTATGAGTTGTATCCAGATCTTGAAGATTGGAAAAAGGTTTTTAGACTTTTCAACGCGACGGGTATTTTTTGTAATGAATTCACACACAATGTAGGGTTTGACACATGCATTGCGGACCTATTGAAACTTAGGGCCGGAAATGACACTGGGATTGTTAATGATGGGCTTGCAGAGGACGACGTCATTACGCTGCAGCCCACTTCTTAGAACGTTTTACACATACATACTCATTGTTAAAATTAATTGCAGTGGAACCATCATTCAGGGGACACCCTCGGGACCAACTCAGATGTCCCCTAAATAGAGGTGTCCCCTGAATGGACGTTGGGCTGGGGATTGTTAATAATTAACCAAAGAATATATAATATTTTTCTTATATATTCTAGCTCTGACTGCAGGTATTACTTCAAGCAGCTATAGCTAGATAATGTATAAAAAATCATGATTAACTTATTTCTGCGATGTTGTTTGGTTAATTCCCGCAAGTGTAGTGCAGCGATTTGAGTGAGACAGTTCTCGTTTTGAAAGCTGTTGCCTTTGACTAGTAAAGTAACACTAAAACTTAACAATTACTTTTGTGGTCAGTCACTTTTTGAGGGCTAAAGTGTACCCTGAATGGAGATTAAGGTTTCGGGACCCATGAAAAGTGTCCCTTTCTCCTGAATAGAAGTGTCCCTTCCACACAGCTGACAAATACAAAGATTATGTGAACATTTTTCCGGGGCCAAATTTTGCGTCCCCTAAATAGAGGTGTCCCTTGAACAGAGATGTCCCAAAGGAGAAGTTCCCTGTACCACTAGTTAAACCTCTTCTACAGATACTTCTTTAATATAACTTTGAGGAGCTCTGTTGGTGACAAACTTCATACAATAAGATATACAACACAGAACAATACAATGCAATGCAATGCAATACAATCCCTTCCTAGATAATATAATGTTATGCGGACACTTAGCTCGCAGTGTTTTTTCTTGTCGTCAAAGAGGCAACATTAATACTATGTTGGATGAAGAGGCTACTTTTTAAAGGACATCATGTGTAAAGGAGGTCAACGAGGGTTCGTGTTTGTTGGGCATGGAACAAGACGAAGAGTTTACTAATAGTCCCAAGCACAAATTGCGGAAGATTTTCAGAACTCAGTTCCTGGTTATAAACTTATTTCAAAGGACGGACAAGAAATTACCAATTACAGTAAGTGAGAGCAGAATACAGAAAGTAAATACCAGGCTTATATATTTTTTAAATCATTGTTTAATATTTGGCTAGCATTATACGTAAATATCATCATGGGGCTTTGTTACTATCATTTTTGCTCATCGCAAGTCGTGTGCTTTACAGTGCTCCCCATCAAAATTACACAATACTCACCAAAAAGGAAGCTCCACTGTCAATCGCTCACTTTTTGGTTCGCTCGCGAGCCTGCTCAGTGCACCACTGAATAGATAGATGAATTAAAACGGTCTTCCCGGAGTCACGTTTGAGAAACTGCCGACTTGAATCTTAGGCTTAGCGGTGAAAGTGAAAGCAACTCTAAATCTGTTTAATGCTAGTTGGTTAATCATCAATTGCTTCTATTTTATCATTTTTTTGTGTGTGCAGTGTGTTCATTATTTTGTTTTTCTCTCTGAACAAGTTTAGCTTAATTGCGATATATTAACATTTATGAGGAACTTCACTGAAATAAGTCAGGAAATCTATAACAGATTTACACCACCCATCGAGGGAGGGTGACAGCAATTTTCCACCAGAGAAGATCATTAAACCTTATTATGTGAAGAGACTTCACATAATACCTAAAATAATTTAGATCAAAATTGTTAAAGGTGGACGTTTTTCTGTTACGCAATTTTTCTTCACATTCTTCATATATGAAATAATCTTAATCAGTACCACAATACCGAAGTTGGCAAGCTGGTGTACCGCTGAGTTTGTACACAAAATAGGAACCGCAATTCCTGACAGAAATTGTAGTGGACCAAATACAGCAGTTGCCGTCCCAATGAAAACAGACCTTCCTTAAGACTTCGCCATCTTCCACCTGCGGATTTGTACCATTTATCCAACCAGGGGAGTGAGTACCGCACCTGTTTGTAGTGGGACACGAAGTAGGCATTCTTGTCCCGGCGGCACCTTCAAAACGCTTCCACCCTGGAGCAATG